TGGCGAACAGAAGTGAAATTCAGAAAATGACAAGAGAAGATCCAAAACTATTAAGAACGGTCGATGATTATAATATTCAAATGAAAAAGTTAGAGGGAGCGAAAACAAAAAAAAAGCGTAGAGAACTAAGTAAAAATTATGGGATTAATAATAATTCCATATTGAATAGTTTAACGTTTTTCCACATTCTCATCGAATTAGTACCTGATGCTTTTCATGATATTCTCGAAGGATGTTTATTAAGAACACTGCAACTGCTTTTCATGCGATTCTTAAATGGTCGGAATCAAGTTATGAATTTAGACGAATTCAACAGAAAATTGCTAGAGTTTGACTATGGATATATTTAGAAACAAAACCCTCAATTATACTTCCTGGTCATTTAATCCCAGGCGCAAAAATTCATCAAACTGGTCTGCAAATTTCGAATCTTGCTACACCCTAAAAAAAGTAATTTTCAATCTAGAGGATTCCTCTAAAATAAATGCATATTTTCCTCTTAATTTTGGTATCAAAATTATTATTCTTCATTTAAGAGGATTTTCCTCTTAAATTAAATGTCGACATCCAAACCTCGTAAAATTGTTTTTAATGTCAAAGCCATCAATAAAATATTTATAATTTCAATCAAATAATAAAATCTTTGCAGAAAATACATTTTTAAATTAAAATTAAGTAAAATTATAATAGTTCATTTCAATATAATAATAAAAATTGTTTTTTAATATAACATTAACAATGTCATGTTTTTGGTTAATTATCAACATTTTATATTGATAATTAAAATACAAAAAATAAGTTTTCATTAATCAGTTGTAATGATCAACGAGATTTTCAGCGCAAAAATAATTTTAAAACATGATGATATGTTTAAAAGTTAACATTTTTTATAGGACAGAAAAAAATTTCATATATGAAATTATTTAACGTTTTAAAACTTTTTTAAAAAAGTAAATAAAAAGATTTAAAAAATTCGAAAGATTCAAAAATGGGGTTATAGTATTTCTATTTACCTGAGTAGTAAAATTTCACAAGAAATATCCAAATTTTTTTAAATCTAAAAATAGCGTTAAAAATATTCATTTAATTTGAATTTAACTATATTTTCTGTATTTTTAATAAAGCAAATCCATTTTTTTGTCCTTTTTGTTGACATTTTACCAGAAATATTAAAACTGAAAGGTTAAAAAACAACTTCACAACTATCATACCCAGGGAAAGGGATCAAACGATTACATTATTTTTTTCCGTTTCCTTTTTTTAAATCTTCTAAATTTAAAACGGAAAATCTTAATTAAAGAGGAAAATACAAAAGGAATCCTTTTGTCATTCTTCCATTAAAATGAAGAATAAAAATATTCTACATTTCAATTGAATAATCTTGTTTTAAGAGGAAATATTTAGAGGATATTAGAAGAGGAATTTTCCTCTAAGTATAAGATTACTTTTTTTTGGGTGTATTATAGTTCCTTTCATCCTCGGGCCTCATATTGATTGTGAAGATAAATATTGGCAAAATTATCATTTATTGTTGGAAATTAGTTCCCTAGCATTCGCACACGAAATCTCAATCGCAATGATTGGCTACTGGCAAAATATTATTGACGAATATCTAAGTACTTTTCAAACTCTTTATGAAACTCATTTGATACCCAAGCAACATTTCTTGGTACATTACCCATCTATCACGTTAAGATTTGGACCGTTGTACTTCTATTGCACCCTAAGACCGGAGGCAAAACATCAGTTTTTCAAAGACTTCATAAGAAAAACTAAAAGTTATAAAAATCCATCAGTTTCAATGACTATGCAGCACCAGTTGTATCAATCATATATGAGAGATTCTTTTTCAATCGCCCCAGCCCAAAAAGTCAATGTTCTGGGATTGGCTTCATACTTTGGTAAATTGTTCTCCTATATGATAGTAATAAATCCCTAAAATATAAACTCATTAAAAAAATATTTGTAGAAAGTAGAGGTGGTTGAAGTTTTGACGTTAAGGGTAACATTGTCATTTTCAAATCCGTATAACTATGACAAAAGTTAATGGATTTTAATTTATCTATAATGAATTTTAATGCATTTTTCACGTACTTTTCAAAAATGTATACAAAATTTAAAAAAAAAATTTTGACTTCTTTTTTTTCAAAATCAACCCTTATTTTTCGATTTTCACCCCTTCGGAAATTTTTTTTTTTTATTTTCATTGGAAAGCTGAGGTTTTTTCCCATGAGCTATGTAAATACGAAAGTGGGACAACAATAATTTTGTGAGAAACGTAATATTAAATTAGGCGGTGCCTACCTTAATCCTCAAAGATGATCTCCAGGTATACCCCTTATCGGCACCGCCTACTTTAATATTCTGTTTCTCACAAAATTATTGTTGTCCCATTTTCATATTTACATAGCTCATCGGAAAAAACCTCAGCTTTCCAATGAAAATAAAAAAAAAAAAAAAAAATACCCGAAGGGGTGAAAATCGAAAAATAAGGGTTGATTTTGAAAAAAAGGGGTCAAGAATTTTTTTTTTAATTTCGTATACATTTTTGAAAAGTACGTGAAAAATGCATTAAAATTCATTATAGATAAATTAAAATCCATTAACTTTTGTCATAGTTATACGGATTTGAAAATGACAATGTTACCCTTAACGTCAAAACTTTAACCCCCTCTACTTTCTACAAATATTTTTTTAATGAGTTTGTATATTAGGGATTTATTACTATCATATAGGAGAACAATTTACCAAAGTATGAAGCCAATCCCAGAACATTGACTTTTTGGGCTGGGGCGATTGAAAAAGAATCTCTCATATTCTCGGTGGTCCTGTTTTTTAGATAGGAGACCAAGGGCTAAGTAAACAAGAAGCAGTAGCAGATTTTCCGTTCGCAAATATTATGCCTGATTTAGTAAGAACCTTTGCTTCCGTTCCATGGATCGAAATTGATGGAATAAAATATAAATCTCAGAAGTGTTTTCTAATGATGAATTTTGAAAATAATATGCCTTGTTTCGCTTTGCTTTTTAAAATCATTTACGTCGAAAACAACCCAATATTCGTATGCAAACATGTAACAACAATAGAGCAATATTTACATTTTAATGCCTACGAAATTGCTGTTGAGGAAACTTTTCAAATGTTAGCACACAAAGAATTATATGTCCCCTTTGTATACCAAGCTCATGAAGTCAATGGGAAACATTATATCGCAGTAAGAAGAAGTGTTGGCTCAACATAAGCCTATCAACAATTTCCAAACTCTATTGCACTGGCTTTATTGATGTCATTTTTTTATATTAGCTCCTGATTGTCTTATTTTTCATTCTAATTCATTCTTCCTCTTGTTCAGCAGCTCTTGTAGGATTTTTCTTATCTTTCTTGTGTGTGACTAAAAAACGATTGCCACAAGTTAGGAAAGTCAGGAAGAATTTTTTTCTCAGGGAAATTTTTAAAATTGAATTAAATCGAAAATAAAAAAAATAATTAAAATAGAAATTTATTTTACTTGGTTATGTATATTTTAATTAATATATAATTTTTGACTATACAGACTATACCATACAGTATAGTCAAAAATTATATATTAATTTAAAAATAATAATCTGTAATAAAAATTTTTTGTTAGTGAAAGTTTCTTAATTTCAAGTAAAAATCAGAGAATTCTCAAAAAAATTGGAAATGGTTTCTTGTTGAAGCCACGAAGAAAACCAAATTTTATAATTGGAATTAATAAATTAAGATATTAATTAAACTAAGTATAAAATTAAGCTGCTGCATTGCTTCTTAGCACGTAATATTTTTTAGAAAAATTTCTTTGCTTCAAAACTAAATATAATTTTCCTAAAATTTATAAATTTTCTCTTTGTAACTTGTGTTTGCGTAATTGATGTGGTTTTGTTTTATATTATCCATGATTGTCTTAGGTTTTTCACTCTAATTCATTCTTATGTTTGTCTTCATTTTTTCTTTTTTTAAGTTGCTTCTAAAATGGATTTGGATTCGAGAAATGTTAAGCGAAGAGCTTGTTTTAATGATAACTGTGATTGTGATCAATACGAGAGAGATGAAAATTTTTTGTTGCCTTTGTCCGGCTACTAAACATTTACGTATTGAAGGTATTTGTCAAAATTTTACGTTTTTCTAAATATATTTTCTAATACTTCATAACTTTCATATATATATATATATATATACTAATTCAACCAAAAAAATTATATTTTAAAGGGAATTTGAAGATTGTAAACGTACAAGATGGTGCGACCCTAGAGAACAAAGATAATCAGAAAGTTCTAGTAAGAGTTTTAAATAGAAGTTCTGCTGAAAATGGTGAATTTTCTTTCAATTTGGAAAATGGTTTGCCAGAACCAATAAATGTTGTACCCGGTGAAGAGCAAAGTATCGGAAATGAAAGCGGTACTCGCCAAGCACCTGAAGAAGATCCAATGAATTATCCGTTGGAAGAGCAAAATTCAGGGCCAGCTTTCAACCTTTCTGAAGGGGTTAGAAGAGAATCGTCATGTGATTCCATTAAAGAGCAAAATTTTAGAGAACGAAATAACCCTCATCGTACAATTTTAAGTGATCTGATACGAAATTCAACTGTAACGATGCACGTACGTTTTACAGTTTTTAAAATCATTCTCATTAATTGTTTTCAACACTAATAACTACTTGCAGGCATTATCCTAATAGAATGTTTTAATTGTAAATTTTTTGGTTTTTATATTTAATTGTCGAGGAATCAATTTAAAATTGTATTAATTTTTCTATCAAATTTTTTTAAATAAGTAACTTCTTATTTTTCATTTTGATCAAAAGTATTATAATAAAAGAAAAATTGATGTTCTAATATGTGAAAGGTTTGTCCCTGAATAATTAATAATTAATAATTGTTTAAATGTATTTTTAAAAATTCACAAGATTTAATTATTATTTTTATGCAAAATAGTAAATAAACATTTAAAATTAAAATAATAATAAACTTTTTCTAGATTCAATGGGAATTTTCATGCGACATTGGATTAAATAAAGATCAAATTAAATCCAATTGGATAATGGCATTGCCAAAATTATGTGATTATTTCTTGCCAAAGACATTACATGTTGAAACACTAACACAGGATCAACTGACGGTTCTTATTCTACAAAAGGCGACAGAGACATTCAAACCGAGAACTACGTCGATGCAACGAAGCGACGCAAGAAATATTGTTCAACTTTTCCAAGTAAATTAATTTCTTTTAAAATTATATTTTACATAATTACATTTTATATTAATACAAGTATATTGCAGGCTGGTACAAGTGTCGAGGAAACAAAACCGAAAGCTAATGAACCACCACGTTTAATTGCTATTGGAAATATTGATGCTCCAAATTTAACATTTTCGGTTTATGCCGATCAACATGCAATGTTTGTGGTTTCAGCAGTTGAATCTTTGATTCATTTATATGCATTGTTTTAGGTATTCAATATTGAGTATGCCGCTGAGGCTAAAATATTGTATACTTTTATTTCCGCTATTTTATTACAGAGAAGAGTTTCTCAATATTATTCGAAATACAAAATTATTTTGAACATTCTAAAGCAAATGCAATTGTTTTAAAAATGACAAAAAAGATCTTGGTTAATTTCAAATATTCAAAATTTGTGTTTCTTGTTTTATAAAAATTTATGTTTGTTTCCGTCAATAAGTGCGATGCATATAATTTTGTCTTAGGATTATATGATTATTTTTTTTATGTAAAACTATATCATATTAATCATGTTGTTTTCTAGTTTAATTTATATTAGTTATAATCTGTTTCCAAATATTAGTTTTAAAATTTGCATAATATATATGACCAACATACTACAAAGTCACACAAAGTGTATACGTTAAATTATATTTTTAAAAAACTGAAATTGCTGAAAAAACAAAAAAAAATTAATTTCTTGGAGATCTGTATAACTTTTCTCGTGGTCGATTTCAGAATTTGAATAAGCGGATATTTTAAATGTTTCACTTTTCATCGTTTCATCATATTTAAACAAATTCTGTTCGTGTCAGTCAATGGTATAGTTTCGTTTATAATATTTTCTTTTTATTTATTTCATATATATATATATATATATATATATGGCTCATTTCATTTAAATTGTCATATTCGTGTCCCTTGACAAAAAAAATTATTTGATATAACCTTAGTTGAAATTAATTTATTTTTATAGTAAAAAGCAATAATTTTTCTACTTACAAGGACATAAAAGTGACTTTTATAATATTGGCAGAACAAAATGCAGGCAAAATTACATAAGTGTAATGCGTCCCCGGAGACATTTTCAATGTTCAAATGAATGAAATATCGAAAATATAGTGATTAAACCAGATTAAAAAAATGTTTCGTGAAGTATTAGTTCTATATTTAAGGAAAATCTAGTGTTGGTAATTAAACTTTATTTTATACAATTTCCAGAAAATGAAAATGACGTGTCCCTCACTTTTCTATTTTTACGTTTTGCCGGCAGAATTTTCTACTTTTACCTGCTATTTAAATTACCTTATGAGCAAAAAAATTTCTTTACCATCGCATAAGCAGCAGAACACAACAACAAAGTGTGTAAAAAAATCGAAAACGATATAAGTATAAATCTGCTCGTTTGTCATAGAGGCAGAAAAAGCCGAAACACTTTCGTAATTGAATTTCTGTCAACAGTGTAACGCCTTGAAAATGGTTTGAAAATATTTTGAATTTTATATCGGTATCGAATTTAATGTATTTTTGGATTCTCTTTCGAATGAGACCAACCCCGTCGATATAAGTATAACCGTTTTCATTTTATAAGCGAAAAACGAGCTAAATGTCAACAGTGTAATGGTCATAAGTGTAATGCAAATTTGTATATATGGCTTCAGTAAATGTAATAAATCACAGAGGCCTACAAAATAAAACTTTTTTCTTTTATCTTGATATCAGAATGGTTTCTAATGTATTTTTGGGCGCTGAACACGGTCCCGGATCTTAAAATTGCCTAGCATGTCAGGATTTTGAAAAAAGTGGGGGTTAAAACCCCCAAGAAACATGTTTTTATGGGTGTTTAATAAGATTTTTCTCTTTAACCTGACGTGGTAAAAACTTCAAAAAAGTTTTAAATTATAGCATAAATCGTGTACTACATGACCCGTAGACGCAACCCTCCCCCCTAATTTTTTCCATAAAATGAGGTTATAACCCACCCCCAAAAAATTTTTATCTTAATTCTTTCGGCGAAATGAATAGATGTTTATTTGTTTTATGTTCATAATGTTTAAGGACATAAATTTTGCATTTTGCCTATATAATTTTTAACCCCTTTGCAGTCCAGTTAAAAATCACTTAGAGGCCTAATAAGGTTCCAAACAGAGCTTTCATAAAAATTTGATTTCATCGTATTTAAGATTTTTGGGTTCATCTGTCATCAAATTCGAATTCAGCGACCCCGAAAACCCCCGAGAAACAAATTTCGACCGAATCGCATCAGTCTTGAAATTATCCGCCATATAAGATCCACCATTTCAAATTTTGAAAATCTGACGTCATATTTGTAATTAGCAACCCAAAAAACCCCTAAGTAACGAGTTTCAAGCGAATCGAATCAACTTCTAAATTTTCATGGTCGCCATTTTGGATCGGGTAATTTGAATATTTTAAATCTGACTTCAAATTCGGATTCAGCGACTCCAAAAACTTCAGTATATTTTTCACCAGTCAAATCAAATTATATTTAGTATTATTATTTTATCAAAAAATTGACAGATGAAAATTTTTATAAGATATGACGATTTCCGCCAAAAAAAATCTTCTGCCATAAGAAATATATGACTTTAATTTTGTGACCACTATTTATTTTATTAATTTAACAAATTCACAAATATGAAAATATATAAATTATAAACAAAAATAAATTGCTCTCTTTATGTTTTATAAATAAAATATGATTATTCCTCTTAAATTTTCCTGCATAAAATCAATATAAAGATTTATTTTAATTCACACAGAAAAAATAGTTCCTTTTATGTATATTATATTACTTCCTCGTAGGAAGCTTTATAGTGATGACAATTTTCAAACTTCCTAAAATCAATGTTTTTAATAAATTTTTTAACTAATATAGTTATATTTCGACATGAGGAACAAATTATAAAAATTTCAATTTATTTATTTTAAAAACGTATTCTTTGCGTTAAAAAGAATTTTTTAATCTATATATTAAGTTCATATTTTACCTAAATTTATAGATGAAATCATAATTTTTATTTTTTCAAAAAATTTAAATTTTTTGTTTTTGTTAAAAAATTTAATAAACCTAAATTTATAAAATATTTAATGTAAATTAAATTAAATATTTTCTGCGAGGAAGCATAATGTTCGAGAAATGAACATCACATTTATGTAATATAAATGTCCACCCCTTCTTGTTATATATATATAATCGAAAATTTTTAGTGAAACAACATAGTTGATATTTTTTTATATATAAAACCAAATTTTGTTTTATATGCAACAAGAAAATATATTTAAATTTGATTTACAGAAATTTTGATTATATAATATTATATAAAACGAACCATTTTTTCGGTGTAGGTAAATATACTGAAATTTTTTTTAACTCAATTAGAAACTATATTTAAATATATAAAAAAGATTGATTCAAGCCCATATTCTAGCTAGTTGCTAATTTTTATACCGCGCGGTGGCTTGATTTAAGCCCACGTTCGGGCTTGTGGTTACTTTCTATTTCGAAAGGTAGCTTATTGTTAGCCCCTACAGTAGGGCTTAAAGTAAGATTTATGCTATGAGCGAGTTAGAAACTATATTCGGTCTAGTTTGTGTCCAATATTGAAACTAGCTTCTTTTCGGGTTTGAAACAAAACTTATTTTTTCCTGTGAAGTATCAAGGCAAGAAGATTATGGTGAGTTGAATAGAATATATTTCATCCCTAATTTATTTATACTGTGAAAAAGAACAATAGTGGAAACTTTAAGATTAATTTACAGTTTTAATTTCTAGGTGCTGATTGTAAAGTATTGGTAAAAGACAAAATTTTCGAAGGCGTGTTGTTTCACAGAAAATTAAAAGGCATTAAAATAAGCTGCAACGCTTATTATTTTAATCCAATTTTGCTTATTTTAATCCATTTTGGTATTAAAATAAGCAAAATTGGATTAAAATAATAAGCGTTGCAGCTTATTTTAATACCTTATAATTTTCTGTGTTGTCACAGAACACATGCAAAATATAATGGAGGCTTTTTCAAATTTATAGGCATAGATTTGACTTATAAACTTTTAAATTTGAGAACACCGCTTTACTTAGTTGTGATAGAAAAGTCTCAAGGACAAAGAGAGATTGCTCCTTGATGCATTATGATGCACGAAACTAAAGAAACCATTAAGTGGTTAATTGATTCTTTTAAAGACAAACATCCGTCATGAACGAAAGTAAAAACAGTCATGGCTGATAAAGATTTAAATTTGGAATTACAAGCGAACAAAAGGATTTAAGTAAGTGAATAATACAGAAAATGATATACTGCAATAATAAAAAAGAATACTCGAAATTATATACCGAACTTAAATCAAAATATCCCAATAGTAGGGTAGTCCATGATACTAAATGGGGATTTACTCAAGTGTCGTGAGGACGATGATAGTTTGTAGTTTAGATGCTAAGGAAAATAAAAGGTTCTACAAAGTTTCCCTTTTCAGTGGTGGGGGAAGCGTCTACAAAGTTTTAAAAATGTAAAAAAACAATTACAGGGAAATACTTAAGCGTGTCAGATATTAATAGTTTAGATACTCTAACGTGTATCTGATACCAAATAATATATGTATATGTTCATCTGTCGGTTTGCGCGGTGGTGGTGGCCCTCCGGATGGATACTAAATAGAAAAAAAATATTGGTTCGAGCGCGTCAGATATTTAGGGAGGATGTTAAATGAACCCTAAAAATGCTCCCATTCAAAATATTGACGTTTCAGAAGTAAATAATTTGATATAAATTGAAATTTACTTAAATTAAAATTCTTTTAAGTGCAAGTTTTCTTGACATACATTCCGTTAAATTGAATTTCTATAGGGGCAGTTAGGGTAAATGGGGACAAGAGGTGTTAGAGTTTAATTTACAGTTTTAAAATTAAGTTCAACGTCAATATTTAAACGTCAGATCACCTACAAGAGGTTCTAAGTTTTGCCAAGCTTTTATCTTGACAATTGGCAGCAAGATAATTCAAGTTATCTCTCAATGCATAAAAACTTGAAAATCAAAGTGAAACTGATTCAGTATTTTGTCTCGCATTTCAAAGAAAACAGACTTAAAAATCATACAAAAATTTTTTCTTATTCCTTATGACACCCATAACAGAAATTTACTCGAATATTTTATTTTTGTTAATTTGGTTAAAAATAACAAGCTATCCCCACCCAGACAGCACCGTTTTTCGCAGGGAGTTCGCGGGGAGTTCCCCGTGTTAAGTTCGGAAACTAAGTTGGGGAGCTTCAGGGGAAGTTCAGGCGAGCTCTATATGTCCTCGGTTTTATAACTCGCGGTGCGAAGTTCAGGATAGTTATCCGATTAAGTTTGCCGAAAAATTGTGGAT